GGGCGAATTGGAGCGATAATGATTAGGATGTTGATTGAATTGCTGTTATGGTCACTCAGTACCACATCTGAGAAATACGTTTAAGAAAATAATGTCGCACGAACTTAAAGTCACGGCTCCTCTCAGTCCTCACCGTGAATTGTTAAACTAATAAGCATTGATGTTGTTGCAATCGTGTTTGCAAGTCACAAGAACATGTGACGCCACTATCGAACACTGCTATTGCCTCCCATGTGAAGTGTCTTGACACTTTATTTAAGCGACGGTCTTTACACTAATTTGCATTCTTAAAGACTGATTTATAAAAAAGAACAGAATTTAAAATGTACAATGCTTACGATTTGGAAGTAACATCAAAGTTCATTCTTACAATTTGGAAAATCTCTGTCCGTTAAGTGAGCCTCTCACTTTGAAACTTGACCCAATGGATCAAATTGCACGACTTATTTAGCATGCAGTGACAATTCTCAATGACCATCCCGGCGTCCACGTGATCTTCAAAAACAAACACGGCAAACATTTGTTTTTTGTTTTTATAAATGCGCAGCAATTGATTAAATGTTACGTTTTTTGGCAACAAAAGTTATCTTCTTTACACAATCATCGAGTTGTATTTGGAAGTTTCCAAAATTGCACAAATAAGTGTGTGTACAGACAAGTAGGAGGAAACCGGGGTGTCAGGTTTATCCCACTCATACGAGGGGGGTAACACCCATAATGTCCGTACAAACGATATTTAATCATCATCAATTGCTGTACTGTCACGTCCTGGCCACATCACAGCGAAATAAGTGCAACATCATATACTCTACATACATACGTAAGTAGTCTCACATCCAGTGAACTAAGCAGGCTTCAATATGCTTAGTTTCCAATGTGTGATGTAAATCATTGTTCGTTAAGGCTTGCAAGCGGAAAGCCCTACTGTGTTAATCCAGACTCGTGTCTATGCGCTGTTAGCGACAAATCCACTGAAACGAAAATTAACGTGCTCTGAAAACCTCCGTTAGGTCGCGCTAAAATGTACATTTAATATCTGAAACGTACCACATGTACCATGCAGGGATACGGACGCAAAAGAGAAAGATCTCCCGTATTGATCTAACAGATTGTTGGAGAAAGTGCTGTTAGCGGGCACCTATGAAGACCGGAAGGGCACACGAGGGGGTGGGTGGCCAACACCACGTTCCCAATGGCGATGTTTACTCATCGCACCAGGTACTCATTTGAGGATGAGACGACTTATGGGTAGGCCAGGACCGGTGTTGGCCGTGAGCGAGAATCGAACTCGGGTCGCCAGGTTCGTAGCGCAGCGCGCTCACGCTACACTACCGCTCCCAGACAATACGAACGCACGTATACACAAAGATCCTGCCCCAAGCAGAGCCTTAACAGACTGTTGGGGCAAGTGCTGTTAGCGAGCACGCACACGCGCACACACCGACATAGCAACTTAAAACTCCCGCGGTTTTAATTGGAGCGAGGCTCAGTCGGATGATGGGCGCCACGACGACGACATTGGGGATGGCCCCGCAGCAGCCGTCGCCACTGCCGCCACGAGGGCGCCTGACCCCCGGCGCCACGCGCAGCGGGCCCACGGGGGCCCCCGCCACGCATGGGAATGGCCCTCACGTCGGTGTCCGCTTTAATGTTTTTGTCGTCATCAGCGGCAGCCATGGTCAATCTACTGCTGGACGAAGGCCTTGCTCAAGCCACCGCCTTCATGTTTTTACGCGTTTAATGTGTTTAAAGTTCCAATAATTGTGTGGGTCTCCTGTAAGTGACACGCCCCTACCCGTAATGTGCCTTACATATACAATGTATACATATAGGCGGTGACTCTTTAGGGTACTTTTAAGGTGTATTTCGTAAAATAAATCAAGAGAAAGATCCCCCGTATTGATCTAAAAGACTGTTGGGACAAGTGCTGTTCGTGGGCACCTATGAAGGCCGGAACGGCACACGAGGTGATGTGTGGTCATCACAGGGTTCGAATTAAAGAGGAATATATTTCCCCAATGGGCAAAGGCGCGTGAGTGCCAAGTGCCCTCTCGACGAACAGAGAAGCAGCAGCAGCACGACACGTCGCTTGGAGGAGGGACTGTCGCTGTGCTCCCTGGATCTTTCTTCAGTAAAGAAAGTGTTTGCTAAGCGTATGGGCTTTAACGTCCTATGTTAACTGCACACAATGAGGTTTAGAAAGTAATAAACATTACGGGCAAACATACGTTTAAGTTTAATACGTTTTTCAATGCTTGTTAATTTAATTTAAATTAATAATTTTATATTTTTGGAAAATTTCACATTTTTTTTGTTTGGTTTACAAACTGCCATTTTCCGAGCCGCTGTAATTTACTTAAGCCCGAGTCTTCCCGGGTATTCGATAAGGAGCCTTCTACTTTCAAAGCGCTCCTACCCGGTTGTAAAAGTCATCTCAATACCGTAGCCCGGGGGACGGCAACCTTTCAAAGAAGAAGAGCCATTTGCTTAGTTTTTGTCTTTGACCAAAATAGTTCGAGCCGCATCACCACGCAAAGCCACTTGTACACAAACATAGTAGCAGGTATACAGCAGATGACAACACACATTCTGACTTAAATGAACAACATAGGTGATGGAATACACTGCGTCTATTTAGTGTTTTCCTCCCTTAGTCTTTAACAATACAGTTTGGCTGTTGTACATTTTCTTGTCAACAAGGCATTCCATAGCGACCCATACCCTATCAATTATGTTTTAAGATTTAAGTTTAAAAAAAACGGTTGCCACCAAAGGGGACAGCCAAAGAGCCCAAGGAGGGGAGGGGGCAGGTAGCCAGAGCCAATTCATGAGCAATCGTGGCTGATGTCACTGCTCCCCCTACTGGAAGTGGTCGCCAGGCTGGAATTCATGGGGCCAAAAATGTCCAGTGATGTCCGTCGAGGCAGGCAAACTTTCGCCCGGTTTTACCTTTCCACGCCTCTTCGGCAGTCAGACCGGCTTGCACACATGCCGCCGGATGCTGTCGGTAATGTATGTACAGTATTTTGAACTTCTTTCGCACCGTACTTAGCCAACCGTGCTCATCGGAGGTGGGCAACGTCTTCGCCTAATCCCTGGCCAGCTGACACAAAACGTAATGTGCATTAAACGAATCCACTGGTGGATGAGGGCCTCTCCACACCGTGCGAGTTGTGAGGATCTCGGGGGTTATTTTACCGTTCTTCACCACTCTGCTCAGTGCGCGTTGAAGCCAGGGGAGACAAAGACGTGGGAGCAAAGGAGTACAGTAGAACAATGTTGTTGTTTTATGCACTGCACATAACGTAGCAACTCCACAGCCGCCTATGACAACCCGGGGTGCGTTGTGTTCTTACATCCAAGCGCTATCCAGGCTCAGGCCTGCTGAGCTTCCGAGATGTATGCTGAACTTCTTTCGCACCGTACGTAGCCAATCGTGCTAATCGGAGGTTGCGGGGAAGGACAACAAACTAAACCACAGAAAGACAGCTGAGAATTTTTTTTTCAAAAATTCATCCACGAACAGGAAGACATATTTCATGTTGCCAATTGCTTCGCGTGGATCGGTTTTGGGGGGCTTCTCCGAGAGCCCACGCGAAGCTGCGAGTGAGGTATCCGCTTGCCACCTGGCGGTCATCGGCAGATCCGCACGTTGCTGCGACAGCGTCAGCATTGGCGAGAGGTGGGGGAGGATCAAGTTGTACGGTCCTCTTTGGCGCCGTCACTCCGGTGGTCCGATGGTGCAATGGTTGACCGCACGCGGTTGCGAGCTCGATTATCGGCCACGGCTAACATCAGCGGTGAGTCTCAATTTCAACAACAACCCTTACTGGATATGTTTACAATTAAAAAGGGCCATCATACAACGGTCGATTGAGAATGGTAAAATGACAACTGTTTAGAATGGCTTGTGACTCTAAATCCATGTTGTTTGTTGCTCAGCTCGCCGTAGGAATGTGGACTTTCCACCAGCGGCTCAGGACTGTAAACTAGAACACTGCGTCGGTGCTGATCTGAACTGGACATCGCTGCGCTTGCTTCCGTCACAACCACGATCAATCAATCCGTGCGCTTGCCTCCCCCCGTGGTGGCCACTCGAGAGGCGCGACCCCAGCCGCGTCGCTCATTCAAAGCGCCCAGCAGGTGGCAGCGGAGCAGCGCCACCGCGGGGTCCTCGCGGTGGCGCTGCTCCCCCCGCAATTCAATTCTGGCAGTCCTCGACTGACGAACACAATTCGTTCCTAAGACCCGTTCGTAGGTAGAACGGTTCGTAAGTAGGAATACAGTAATCTGCACACACGAAGACTCACGCCCAGCACGAGGCTGACTAATTTACATCTCGCTGAGGATCGCTCAGCTGAACAAAATAGTGACATGGTTCAGTTTGCAAGCGAGAGCTCGCGTTTTAAGTAAACGTAAAAAAACGTCATGGAAGCTGGTTCGTAAGTGCGGGTGTTCGTAAGTCGACGACTGTCTGTACTGTTTAAGGCGGCCGCTGCTGGCGGTGTCCACAGTCGGTGGCTCACAGCACACATTGCGCCGCTTGCAACAATTCAACTGGTGGTCCTGGGCTTGACCAGCGCGGTGTAGTATGGTCGAACAACCTCCGTGACCGATCGTGGCAAATGAACGTCATCATTCACAAGCGGACTGACACACGTATGTAAAAGAATCACCCAAAATGTGTCAGATTTCGTTCCCTCCGGGAGGTTAAGCCGGCTTGCACTTGGTTAGTACTCAGACGAGAGAATGGAAATACCAAGTGGTTTTGCCTCGGCTGTGAGCTGGCCAGCAAAAGCAAGTACAGGAATTCCTTAATTTGTGTGCGGATCTTTGAGTTTCATCCTCTCATATTTGGCAGTCTCTCCGGGTACTCTGGTTTCTTCCAATTCGCCAAGCACTCGTTAATGGCAAACATCCTAATGCAGTACCCTCATTATTCTTACTCCTCTCTATCACTTCTCATCAGCAGATAATAGATACACGTGGGGGGGTCAAAAGAAAATGAGCAAACATTTATTATTATTACAGTATCCTTTTAAAAAAAACTAAACAAAAATTAAGGGTAATGTCAAATAACAGTCTGCAGGCGACTCACACGTGGGGTGTAAATGATGCCAAGGCAAGCGGGCACCAGCAGTACGGGCTTCACACACACGGAGATTCATGAGCAACGTGAGCACGGAACTGTACATCGCATTTTACACGGCGTATAACATATTCCAATACTATTCATACAGCAGAGTAATTACAGTATGGGCCCAACGTAACGTGTTGCTTTTATGTGTTCACATATTTATAAGAGGGGGGGGGGATATATCGTTTATATATACGTCCGTTAATGGTGCATGTTAAAACATTTACTTGATACTTGAGGCAGCATAAAAAGGCATTGAATTAAAGATCCGAAGGCAGCCAAGTGGAAAGTGTGGAGCTGTAGTTGAAAGGGGGATAACAGATGGGGGTTCACTCCGCTCCACTGCAGTACAGTCATCGTCACATGATCACCCACTATTCATCAAAGCAAAACTGCATCAGGTAAATTAATGTAACGTCAGACACGACCGATAATGGATAACAGTAAGGGCTGACTGGTGGAGCGAGAGATGACGTTTTGACGTGTTGGGTTAATATTCAAGCAATAGTACGTTGACATCACTTATCCAGAGATCACCACACCTCCAGATGAACACACCCATAATAACCACAGCAAATCAACTTATTCAGCTGTATTTCTTTTTTGTTGATCTCATTAGCGTCAGCTCGCATGCAACAATCATTTCCAGGGATAGTTGAAACGTCTGAAATGTAAGCAAATTCGATTTTGAGATTCAGAAGCTTTTGACACTGGGCTTTGTTCAGGACCCACGTACAGGCACTGCATTGGCACGTGGTTCAGACCCGATGCCCTGCTGCTCAAGGCATTTAAAATGATCAGCCATCAATGCAAGTTTGTAGAAGCAGAGTGATTTGTTGGGTGCCCAATGTTAATGGACAGATACATTCATAGACTCGGGGCTAGATGCCACATCTTGACAAAATGAGCACAACACAATGCCCTCCCTCGGTGATGTGTGTCATTTATGGAGACACCAGAACATTTTAGCCAAAAAGAGCATCAGCCTGCAGGCCCCGCCTCAAATCTCATCAGATGTTTGGTTATCCACGTGGCTGGTCACTCAAAACAAGCGCACGTCACACAGTGCTGGTGCAGTATATCCCAATAAGACCACCCCTCACAATACAACCGTGACAAAGGAGAGCACTGTGCCTGCAAATATACAGTCGGAACTTTACGACTTTTATAGGCAATAACGGATTTGTACTCTGACACCCAGTGGCTGCACCAGAGCTGCCGGATTAATGCTCATCATGGACAACGTTATGCTTTTGTAAGATAGTATATATTTTTTCAATAAACGGTATGCACTTTTCTCAGCATGAGCTAGCAACGCCAATGCTTCATGCTTTATTTTAAAGAACACAATACAATGCTGAATATAATAACAAGGTCTGTATTCAGATATAAAATCAGTCAGCCGTTCTGAAATTACTTTCTCTTCTGCTGTATACACACACACACTGGACAATTATATCATATTAGTCACTCCTTTTTCAGCAAATGTACTTTTGTGACTCTCAAAGTCCCTCTTCGTGCCTCCCCATGACCCACATATCCAAATCATTTTCCTCATCATCAGGAGCGTGCAGAGTGCAGTTGCCTAATTTGCATATAAGGCAATATGCATAGTACTAAACGTACCCAGCAAAATCTCTACCCAGCAAACATTGTGGTACACACCAAGGGAAAACTCCTTCAGCAGGATACTGGAAGAACAGATATCTGCGGTCAAATGTTGGATTTGAAAGAGCTAAAGGATCTGGCAGAAGTGATACGAGGTGTGGTGGCATTAATGCATTTGGGCATGTTCACGTCCGATTTGATAAATATTGATAACCAAGAAACGTGACCAGGATGAGACTTAGGATTCAAGTTTGAGAATATCCCAAGACACGATTGGTATAAAACACTCGGCGAAAACATGCCTACGTGTGCACCGCTTAATAGTACATCAAATCAGATGTCACTGAAAGGTTTGCTTTACAAATGGCCAACGTGCTTTTTTTCAACTATTAAATTCCTCCCTCCCTCCCCTCCCACCTCGGTCTTTGGAAATGCAGCTACGCAAACTGTTATACGAACTATAAACCAATAGTGAAAAAATATACAAACTCTATATAAAATAATACAAGTCCTATGTACATGATACAACACCACGTGGTGCGCTCTCATTCATGCCTGGCAGACGAACGCGGGGGAGTGAAGGCCCCCGCGGCGCTCCCGGAGCCGGTAACCGACTCTGCGTTTGTCCCCCCGCGCATGCATGGGGCTACAGGAGCAGGGGGCCAAGGTAAGCATTTCCGTTTCGCTCTCATTCCCGTTTCGCTCTCATTCCCGTCTTACAATCGTATTAGCTTTAATAGCGTAGAGTACCATTGCGTGTTGCATGTGAAAGTAAACTTGGGAATTCGTTTGCAATTTTCCACCGCGGGGACCTAATTTAAACCGTGGTCACGTGGTGGGTGCTTCGAGCAATTAAAGACGCAAAAACAAAACCAGCAAGAGAAATCGAAAGCAGGGGGGTGGTGATGTCACCACGGTGCTTGCTGCAGGATAGGTTTTCCTTTCAGAGCACTGAGCACGAGTTGCCAGGCAATGTTGAGGGATTTCCTGAAAAACTGAAGCTCACGACACCACGTTGAATCTGCTTGACCGTTGTGATCAGATACTGAATAATTTCTTAACTTGACGGAATTGAATAGTATAGTTACAATGTGGGCACATATACGCACGCACACACTGCACTAACTCCAGGAAGGGTTGGATGTAAGCGGAGTTCGACATCGCAGTCGTATTCGCGTTATTCGCTGTGTGCGCATGTTAACATTTGTAAGGGTCGAGTAAAGGAGCTCAAAGGACAATGTATTATTCAAAGCAAGTGCCAATTCAATACAATTTCATCAACATTTTACACTCGAACGTAAGTTCACAAAAGCAGGTTGAACAGAAAAGCGGAAACACGTACATACACACACAAACAGGGTAGTTAGCACAATAACAATCTGAAATAACAAGAGACCACGACACACATTTGTTTCACAATCCAGTCCAAGGTGAATCGTTTGGCAAGAACGGTGCTAAGCGCTGGTGCGTTGGTACTGTGTTGCACACACTATTACTGCAGAGCTTCTGAATCTACATTAAAACGTCTCACTCCATTACATCCACACATCCGATTAGCACGCTTGGCTACGTACGATGCCGAAGAAGTTCAACATCCATACATGTCACTCCGATCTCCGTTTTGCTCTCGACGCGCCCTATACAACTCATCACTGCAACCTGTACATTCACGCAAATCTCTTCCCCCTGGATACCCGGAGAGACCATCAATGGGCTGTTTTCATCATAAAGGTCCTCTTAGAACAAACCCACCAATTACATAAGTAACCACTCGGTTCCTCAAACTCCCTCCTGTCGCCTCACAAGTGCCTAATTATTCCTATTAAAATGCCATTTTGCTCAAACTTTGCTACTTGCACCTACTTTTTTCTGGCGCCCTCTTGCTCCGATTTTTAAAATATTTTCATGTGTTTTGTTTACGACCGTTAAATACCCCCTGTGTTAGTTGTGCAATATTCCTGAAGGAACCCTGTAACTCGTTCTCTGCAATATCGATGCACTTGTTGTTTTGTTGTTGCTCTGCTCACGCACCACGGATCGAGCTGGTAAAATAGCTGAGCAACCGACAAAACGGGATCATGTTTGAAACAAACGAAATTAACTCAAATGCAAAGTTCAACAGTTCACAGAATCATTTAAATGTCTGTGGCCTCGAACACAAATTGCTATTTCGTGCTGAAGGTTGAAAAGGAGAGGGAGTGCACCCGCTTAGTTTACATTGCCACCGAAGCGGGCTGCTACCTGGTGCACACACAGAGGTCACTCGGTTTAACACAGGCTTTCGCGACCAAAATTAGTATCTATAATAGAGGTTTTTGGGTGAGATCGCATAAATGTGTCTTTAAACCCGCCACCACCCGGCACAGCCAATTAGTAAGGTTTGTCATGTAAGCAAAACGTGCCAATTCGTTACTGTGTGCTGAACTAGTAACGACTGTGTTTGGGTGGTGGTGGGTTTAACAACACATTTATATTGATGCGATCTAACCCAAAAAAAACTATTTTGGAGAGGTCAATCAGCCTCACTAAAGGCCAGTAAACCGACAACAGCTGCTGGAACAATCCCACTGCCAAGCACCATTTGAGCTCTCACATCGACTAACAACAATTCCAGGGCAAGTGTTCCATGTTGAAAGCAAACGTGTTTTTTTCACTAATGGAAAAAAAAATTCAATAAAAAACAAAAACACTGCAGCAATTTTTTTTCACCGAATGCCACCTCACAAGTTATGTCAAATGACGTTTTCCACATGACAGACCAAACACGAAGCTGTCATCGCCAAACTCCTGGCAGGAAATACGAAACGCGGCTACTCGGCTTGAAGGTGTTGAAACAAAACCCGAGCTCTATGTTGACGTCTGTAATGGCCTTAAAACGCATGACCAGGAAAATGTAATTCAAGTATAAGGTCCATTTCCAGTTTTCAGAAGGGAGTTTTCGTTCGATGCAATGACGATAAAAACAGTTGACCGTTTACAGTGCTGTGGAAGAATTAAACAAAACCCAGAATGAGTTCGGGGTTCACTCGGTGTCACGGAGTACAACTTTTGAATGACTTTCCAATGATTCATGTTTCTTCTTTCGGAAGTTTGCAGGCTTTTGCAGTGATTACGGAGGAAGTTAATAAACAGCGAGGCATTGTAGAACAATCTAAAGGCTACAAAAAAGAAAACGGGAATAAATCATTCAGTCACCATACAGGCCTGTAGCCCAAGGTGTTTCCACTAGTGCCCGAAACAATAATCCACCGGAACGAAACTGCGAACACACCAGCACAACCGAGTTGCACGTAGTAACCTCTCCAGCACGGCTATGACTTGAATCGGCGGCGGAAGTCATGCCACCAAAGATGACACTGAAACCAACTGAAAGGCAGGCACCACTTTGGGATTCATCCATCTTCACCGTCTTCGTGCTATCTCTCAACTGTTGGGTTTTTGGTTTTTATCGCAAAGGAACTTGCAGAGGCAGAACTTCATAAAAAAAAGCACAGTTTTCCTTGAACATCCAGCAGTGGACAAATGCAGAGCCGAGCAAAAGCAAATGTTATTTCACCGCACTGTGTGTCAGTGCTGCGTCACATGATCAACTCGCAGATATGTACCGACTGGACCACGCACAATGGGCAGCGGGGCTTCAACGGCAACATTTTGCTGATGGGAAAAAATGCTTCAACGTAAAATGTCTTTTGCCCTCCACTTGAGATCGTGCAGAAAATGCCAACTATTAGATATTTAAATATTAAAACCAAGGGAAAAAAATCTTGTAGCTTTGTTATAGCTTTTAAAAGTTAATCAGGTTAATATTGTTTTTGTTTCCTCGGCATGCGCAGAGGAGGCGGCCCGTCAGATCTTGACATCCTGCGCCTCCGCCATCTTTGCGAGGGTCTTCTTGACGCGTAGGGCGGTGAGCCGCGACGACGGATTGTGGGCCCAGCACTCGGCCATCACCTTCGCCAGCGTCCGCAAGACCTGCACGCGTGCGGGAGGGGAGGGGGGGAGATGGACAGGTAGCATGGCTCAGTCACCTGGCACGTTGCAGCGCTGCACGGTGATGTTAGGTGATTTGTAAAACCCATTGGTCATCGGACTGAGACCATCGCGACTTGCTACAGTTGAGGACCCAGATTTATCACAGGTGGCTGCCCGCATGAGAACCGGGGATCGATCCTAGCTCAGTGCTCCAACTCCAGGTTTTAACTGTGCTTGGGGGTTGGGCAAGACTTTTGTCAGATTGTTTGTAAATGTATTCTCTTGTACGTAACACTACAACAATTCTGAGGTTAAAGAATGCGAGTGATGTCATGTCACGGATGAAGCATCCAATTTCTGTGGTGACCCTGTGATGTTAAGATTGGTGCAAGATGACCCAGGTTAAAAAAAAAACGTGGAGCATCCAAGACAAAGTGTGTTCCCAAGCCCATTTCCCAAGCCTGCTTGGTGTCAGGTCGGCCTGGTAGGGCTGCTATGGAAACGTGGGCTGAGCTAGTGAACCTAGTTCAAGCCACTGGCTGGTGCAGCATGCATCCCAGTGGCCATGGACACGGGGCATGTTTATGTGTGTAAGCGAAGGTTTATGAGACACAGGTTGCGGAGGAGTCACCTCATCAGAGTTCCAGCGGTTGGGCAGCAGGGGGCGCAACCTTTTCACGCACACGGCATCCCGCATCTCCTGGTATGAAGGCTCTGCCGAGGTGATGTCGTGGAAGGGAGGCTGATACTCCTCCACCGTGCCTGCACGGAGTGACGACATGTGACGGCACCAGCCGGGTCAGTACCATCAGCACAAAAAGACGAAGATCCCCCGTATAGCCTTATCAGACTGTTGGGGCAAGTGCTGTTAGTGAGCACTATTGAAGGCCGGCACAGGAAAAAGAGGGGTGGGTATCCAACACCACACCTGGCCTTTGTCTCTGCATTGGCAATATTTACACATTGCACCAGGTACCCATTTGAGGCTGAGTCGACCTAGGGTAGGCCCAGGATTGGTTCAGATAACTGTCACTGGTGTTGGCTGTGAGCGGGAATCGAACTTGGGCCACCGGGTTCACAGCATGCGAACCGCTACACTACCGTTCCCCACGAATGCACAAACCGGCACACCTGAGGTCTGTGACAGCTGGCAGTACGCACCAGAGCACACGCAGCGGCGCGCCACCTCCCACAGGACGAGCCCCATGCTGTACATGTCGGCCATGAGGTAGGCCTGGAAGTTGGGCTTGTGCAGTCGCTCGTCCAGCACCTCGGGGGCGCAGTACCGGGGCAGGCCCAACCGCGGTGTCGGCGGCAGGTCCACGTCGTTCGTTTCACTGCGAGGAGCATGAGGCCAACAGCAGCAATTTCCCCTGATTAGCACGTTGGGCTTCGTACGGTGAGAAAGAAGATTAACATACATACCTACGGCAGCAATTACCGCCATGAGCACTTCAGTAATCACCATTACCTTGACCACCATAGCCGCCACCACCACAATCTATACCAATCACCAGCACTACCACAATCACCCGTAGCACGCTCAACACACGAATAACAAGTTAACACAAAGGACCCCCCATATTGCCGCGTGGATTGTTTAGGAAAATGCTGTTTGCGAGCGCCTCTCAAGGTTGACAGCTACGGCACGGCCCTCACGAGAATTTGGAGCTAGCGGCCACCGCCTCGGAGCGCACCCACCTGTTGTACTTGGCCGCGAGGCCAAGTCCGGCGATGACGCAGGTGCCTCCGCGTTTCACCAGCAGGCTGCGTGAGCTCAGGTCCCGGTGCGCGATGCCTGGCTTCCCGCGCGTGCCGTGGATCTCGGTGTGCAGGTGGCACAGCCCCGAGGCGGCCGAGTAGGCGAGTCGAAGGGCACCGCGGCCGTCCACGGTGGAGGAGCGCAGATACTCGCGCAGCGATCCGCTCTCATGGTACTCCGTCACCAGCAGCAGCTGCGTCCACGAACCGGTGCCCTTGATGTCGGCTGCGATGAAGCCTGCGTGATGGACCCAACACCGGTCAAACCCTCATATCTTGCACCTTAACATTTGCACTGTATTTAAATTTTTCCACACATTCGCTTTACCTAGGGTCCATTTATTTTGTCAGGATCTTCCATGACTGCGAAAAGATCCCCCTCATGTGTTTGTATCTCATGCCACCTTTTTTGAAATTCTCCTTGGCACAATCCAACCTCTGTTGTTTATAGCCCTGTCTTTATTTTCCCCTCTTATTCTATTACGAAGATTTTTTCTCCACAGTCCATTCTCACCAGACTTCCATAGCATCTCAACCTCACTTATTTTAGCTCACCGAACATTAAGGCTACCCCTGCCACTCTTATTATTAGTGTTGTATAAAACACTCTGGAGGGAGCAGTGGTACAGTGGTGAGCGCACTGCGCTACGAGCGTTGCCACAGTTCACATCCACGGTCAGTGATAAATTAACTGGTTCTGGCCCTCTCTTTCACCAACCTACACTGACCGGTGCGATGCAGTATGGTAAAAAAAATCCTGCACGACTAACACGTATGTATCTTGAACTTCTTTCGCACTATACGTAGCCAACCGTGTTAATCAGAGGTGTGGGAATGGGGAGGCCTTCAATGAACAAAGGGCTGCACACTACATTATATAACTCGATTTTGACTGTCCTGTACTACCCGTACAGGACATGAATTATTATCCGTTGCTGGACACCCAGGCTGAGGGTTCTGCGCTGGTGCACACGATTGTGAAGCTTCGGTAGTTACAGCAAAGCCTTGTGAGTGACCTTGAGGAGTGCCCTCGTGACGCGACTCTGCCGCCTACCCAGGATGTTTTCGTGCCGCATGAGCACCGTCTGGTAGATCTCCGTCTCGCGGAACCAGATGGCCTCCTCGGTGGTGAAGAAAACCTTCACGGCCACAGTCTCGTCACGCCAGCGGCCCTGCCACACCTCGCCAAAGCGCCCACGCCCAATCTCCCGCACCAGCGCTATCTGCTTCGCGATCGTCCGCTGCACCTGCGGGGAGAGCCGAGGAGGTTTTTAATCGCACGTAATTTAGTAACCCGTCCTCAATTATCATCATAATAACAATAATAAACAAGCATTTCAACAGGAAAGCAAAACAGACAAATCCAACACATTCTCTAAATGACGAGGTAGCCCATCACAAGAGGAAAATGCATGAAGGGCAGGAAACAAATGCCTGATGGGATGGGCAGACTTTTAATTCGTTGGAGTTGTGTGTCATGTTACAAGTGGGTATCTTTGCGTGTGAAGCCGAAGTAGATACCAGTAGGGGGAGCCCAGAGCCGCTGCCAGAACTCTGGCACTCCTCCAGGAGATCCTCCAGGGTGTTGCCGCGGGGTATGATGAGCTCATCGCGCTCCGGCCACTTCTGTCCTCTGCGCCTCGCTTCCTGGCGCCTGTATCTGCGCGCACGCACACGCATGCAGAGGAGAGCACGTGACCGCACAAGCGTTATTAATGGCCAACAAAAATAAAACACATGAGCCGACATTGTGCAAACCCACCGAGCGATCGCGACAACAGCAAAGGACCAACGCGTGCCCATCGCTCAGCAACTGCCTCCATCACATTCAAAAGTCAACGGTGGCAGAACGCGGACCAGACCGGCATCTTCATTAAAAAAAAGTTACAACTTTACACAGGCCACAAATAGGCAGATTGTCTCGGAGAAGGCTTACGAGTCTGACGTGTGGCTGCGGTTGATTCGGCACTGCGCTGGTGGTCGCCGTGCTTACCACGCGTGACTGCAGAGATTCCCAACACACAGCCGTCCCAAACTGTGGAGAGCTGTACGGCGCAGCTACAAGGCGGAATGAAAAGGCCATCTGAACTCGATGACGCGGCAATCGAGAGGATGAATGAATTTTGACTCCTATTGAGCTGTGAAGGCAAAATCAAGGAGAGCAGAGAAGGGGTGGGGGGCCCTCACCGCAAGTACATGAAGACGATGACAATGACAAGGACGATGAAGCAGATGGCAGCGGAGATGAAGAGGGCCAGGCGGTGCACGCTCGAGTCCAGGAAACCTAACGGCACAGCGGTGGTGGCACGTGGGTCAACGGGTCCCGAAATTTTCTCGACAAGCGCAGCACCACAAAAAACAATGAACCCAATGGGAGGGAACACAAACAGAACGAGGAGGGAAAACATCATAATGGCAGGGAACAAAAGAGAAATTGTAACCCAAGATGCAACACAATGAATGCCTACAGCATTTGATGGTAATCGTAAAAAAACTAAATTAATAATATAGTGACGTTCATGGCGAGTTAAAATAGTTTGGCTCGTGCCAATGCAAATCCGACTAATACGCTTGCCAATGAGCACTGATAAATTCACTACATGATTACGTGTACAACTCTTTCTTCCTTCTGTTTAAGATGAATACAACTCATATTTTACAACTGTTACAATATAATCAGTCCTTTAAACTATTCAGGAAAATATTGAGTCTCAAGATACCAATTCTTTAGTGATAATTTTGTAGGTGGAAGGAAAATTGGAAACCCAGAGCAAACTCACACACAAGTGGGCACAATGCTAATAAATCCACGAATGGAGATTATACAGATTCTACTACTGTCAGTTTTATTATCATGGCTAGTTCACTTTCGCAATGTGCGCTCATTTCAGCAAATAAAATGGCATGCAAGAATGTTGTAACCGCCCGAGTGGCAAGCATGTGGGTTGAGGAGTTAGGGGTAATGTTGCTATGTCCACCCACCGATGGAGGCCCCAGGTGGAGGCAGCGTTGGCCGTAGATCCTTGTTGCAGTAGTTGCCCTCCACGCAGCACTCGATGGTCCTGCGGAACCGGGACTTGGGGGAGTCCTGTCAAATGGGGCCCACAAAAAAAACTTCACTAAAAATGCTGCTCAGAATGGGCATCGAGGCGCAAAACAATGATGGCTTGGGCTCAAAGTCCTGGCACGCCTCCTGGTCTAGTTGAATGTTATTTTTTTTGGTGGCATTATTTTTGGAGTGGCGCAGCCATCTTAACATCTCGGCGCCTACCGACGCATGACGATTGTTTAGGAGGAAGACATCAGTACGCACATACTGGAGGCTGCGGGGGAGTGGGAGGAGGGCAGAGGCTGGGTTGAGCAGTGTTGGCTGGCCCGAATGAAAACATGGAAAACTAATTCTTGGTAAAAAAAAGAAATTTAATGATATAATTGCACATTTTGTTTGTAACTAAAAACGAATTGTTGAATTGTGGTCCCAAATTATTACAATTCGTTGAATCACAGGATAGGTGAAGCATCACGTGGCGACTGTCTACACGGATCGGCTGAACCCTGCGTGCTGGGGCACGGGGCGTTTGCTGCGTGGGCGATGGCACCGTGGTTCCGTGGGGGCCACGAGGAGGAGGCTCTCACCCGGCACTGAAACTCTGAGCCCTCGCGCTGGATGCACCCGGCCGTTGTGATCACCTCCCCGGCGTCGTCCTCCTCCACGATCGTGAAGCAGTAGCCGCTCGCCCTGATGTCGGCACACAATTGATTATAATTGAGCACGTGTGGTGTTTGTGCTGTGCTAATAGCGCGGCACCATCATGACGGAAGACGCTATATGTTTCACAGACACAGTCTGCAGTTGTTTCCAAGTCAAGGGGTGCTGTTTTCTTTGTGTAATCCCAATTGAGTAATTGGCAGGCAATTTTCAAATTTGGCAAATTTTAGACCATCACGCAGGCACACAATGGCCTACTATTGGAAAGTATTTATATAGGTGAAAACATCGTTGGCTTGGCTCATAACACGTGAAACACAAAAAATATTTTTGGAAGGAATGAATGTCTCTACTTATCCAGGAAAGTCTCACCGAGTCTCAAGACTCAGTTTCAGGCACTGTGGACACAGTTAGACAATTCTGCAATATTTTACGTGTGGGAAACTGGGGTAGGTGGAGAGAGCTCATCCATAAGAGAGGAGAGCTCCCGTATCTTGCAGAGATGACCTCACCTCACCTTGACATTACATTATTCCGTCTGCCGGACCCCGTGTAGGCGTTTGTAAAGTTGACAACTCATCTCCAAGGCAACCACTTTACTCATGCGAGTACCTTTTCAAGTGTCTATATAAAACACGTGTTATGAATGTAATCATCCACTACACAGAACCAGATTTTACGCTTACCATAACCGGTTTTATAGGCCGTTGTAAGTACGTTCCCTACTTTACGAGGTGTTCAGACTCAGAAATCTATAATTGAATACCTAACATCAGTATGCTCATTCGTGTAACCAAGCGATTCATACCTAAAGAACTGAGCGTCAAAGGAAGCTGCACATGAGCTGAACATAACTTTTTATCATCCCAAATAATCGCCTCTCCCACCGACAGAAGCTACGCAAAGCGGCGCATGATGGCCAAACGGCTGTCCTATCATGTACAAGCATGTATTTATACACCTGGCGATAAAGATACATTATCGGCGAATTAAAGGAGCCTGTGGCGTGTTTGACGTGAGGATCGCACGGCCCATGGTGCCCAGTGCCACTCCTCACCTGCAGGTGTTGTTGACACTTTCCGGAGGGCAGTGCTGGCTGCAGTAGCACAGAAGGTTCCTGGGCGGCTCTGGGATGTCTCCGTCGTCAGTCCCGGCCGCGTCTTTCTTGCCATCTGCTTTGCCCTTGGCCCCAGCTCCCAGCAGCAGGCTGTCGGGCCGCTCGGCCGCTACAACCACCAGAGACACACCGCCCGTTACACGCGTCCTAGCCAATACCACACATTACACACGTCCTAGCCAATGCCACCAAGTTACACGCATCCTACAAATACTGGAGACACGCCACTCGTTGTACACGCCCTAGCCAACATTACCCGTTATACGCGTCCTAGCTAACGCCACCCATTACACACGTCCTAGCCAACGGCACCCATTAAACACGTCCTGCAAAAGCCGGAGTCACGCCACCCGTTACACGCGTCCTAGCCAACGCCAACCAAATGTAATATTACATGCAGACTTGGGCTGAGCTCCACTGAAGATTATGGTTTAATCATAAACAGCAGATGCCCAGATTTGAATCCAGGACCTCAGCTGTGTCGGCTCAGTGCTCTGAACCCTGAGCCATGTACCTCATGGTTGCTGCGAATTCGCGGGAATACTGTTGCTCATATTTCAGTGTACAGCTGATTTCACAGCTCGTGACTCCAGGAAATGAAAATCTCCTTCGTTGGTCCATTAAGAGATACATTAACATACACTCTGCATAAACGAAGGGGCAGCTGTGGGTACTTCAACAATCCACCGGGCACAGTGGTAAGCATTAAACAATGTGCTACCGGCTTACCCAGCGGCTATAAACGATAGAGACAACGGAGCGAGCTGTGTTTTTAAGGGACCCCACTTTCCCCGCGTTGGTGTCGCCTGCGGGCTTCCCACTCCCGGTTCTCCCTGACACGTTTGTGCGCATCAGCCTCCGGGGCACACCTGTGGCTTGCAGCGCCAGCACGGCCAGCGCGACGACTCCCACGCTCCATGCTCTCCACCACACCCACATCTTCTCCTCGGCAAACCTCCAGCAAAAACCTTGCAGCTCCCAGTGACACTCTGTGCGGCGGAAGTGCAGCCCAGGACGGAAATACTGGTGGTGCTTCTCGGTTGAGTTGTTGTACGTCCAATTCTTATTGGGAAGCAGTCACTGGGTATCTGTACATGGTAAGAGAGAGGGGAGGAAAGGAGATGAGAGAAATGGTTTATTATTCATAATTGTGGACGAACATTTTTCCCACAGAGTGCGCAAAATGCAACGCACGCCTACCTGCATTTAGCGCAACCTGCGAGTGCAATTGTGATGCAAACATAATAAGCAATGCGCGAAAACCAAGTAGGTGACGTGACACACATGGATTAGTAAGGGACACCGAGAGGTGAACCCTATGAAGAAATAAATGTACACAGTACTCACTGGGGGGTCTAAAAGCTTGCGAGTTCAAATAGCACGCTCGACTCTCATTGTCGAGCCATCACGGGGGAGCCAACGAAGGGCGCACAATCTGATTGTAAGGTGGCGAACTACTCGAATCAGATTGGTCAGAGTAATTTGTTTGAAAGAGCCTAGGAAAAACAAAATGCAAATGAGGGGGCGTTTGGAAAACCAGGTACCTGTTGTGCAGGCCCTCGTTAGAGAAACTGACCATTCCTCCAATAGCACACCACGGGTTGACACACCTGTGTTTTTTTTACAGCAGTCGTGGCTACAAACCATCATTACCTGGCAAGGTGCGGATATGGTTCTGCGCAGTAATCAATGCCTGTTTGTGGAACTTCTAAAAACACATCTGACACGGCCACTACCGTACAAGCAGGACCACTCTTGGTTTACGTTAGCCCAATGTATGTTGCACCCTGTGAGGGCAATCCCACACTAATGTGGAGTTGACAGTACCTCAAGAGAAATAGGTTATTCACGGGTGGATGTAATTTCAATGCAAAATGTGGAGCTATCAGTCAATCAAAGAGGAATTGAGAGCTCTAATAAGAGATTTTGGTGATATATTCCAGCATGGTGGGCCATATGAGCTGGGACGCATGACACTGATGGAGCGTCATAACGAAGACACGGGGGATGCGGCGCCCATTCGTCAGAACCCATATACAACGAGTCCAAGTGATAGAGCCAAGGTGACAAAAGCAGTATTGCGAGATGTTACAGGCCGACAACGTTATCTTGTCCACAAGTCCTTGGAGCGCCGCAGTATTTATTGTCAATCTGATGGCTTCCTGCGGTTTTACATAGATTTCTGTAGTCTCAACAAGGTCACACTCCCTGATGCTTACCCTTTGCCATGCATGGACAAATCTTGGATGTTCTTTCTGGAGAAAAATTATTCAGCACACTAAACTTATTGTCAGCATTTTGACAACTTCCCATTGATTCTGAGTCTCGACTGTGGACAGCGTTCAGGACCCCCACAGGGGCGCTTCCACTTCAATTGTTTGCCTATGGGGATACCAACATCACTAGCCACTTTCCAGCAATTAATGGTGTCAGCATGAGGTGCACTGCAATTGGATGCGTTTCTTAATTTATTTAGAGGATGTCATTGTCTTTAGACGGTCATTTGAGGAGCATTATTGCCGCCTCTTTGAGGGTTTGTTTTCCAGGCCTTGGAAGGCTAATCTCAAACAGAAACCATCTAAATGTCACTTGGTTCAAGCTTCAGTCCGCTACTTGGACGTCATCAGTCCTTGAGGGTTGTAACAGATCCTGATAAAACCACTTGTGTGCAAAACTGGACCGCACTCCAACCACGGTCATGGAAGTTCAGAGATTAATTGGCTTTGAATCGTATTATTGGCGCTTTTGTGCCACATTTTGCTACAAAAGCAAAACACCTTAATGCTTAAACAGTGAAAAAAGGCAATTCTATTGGGGGTTGATCGCAGCGGTGCACTTCGTGCAACAATTCCGACTGTTATTTTTACAGCTGCAAATTTACAGGATGTACAGATCATACAGCACTGCAGTGTTCTTTGCGCATTGACCACCCATCAGGGCAGTTAGCCAGATTGGATAGAGCACCTACAAGTGTTGTTCACCACAAGTGGTTACGTCATGCAAACGCTGCCGCTCTTTTACGGCTGCCTCCATCTGAGTTGTGTGCATGTACTGCAGGATCTGTAATGTGCAAGTCCTTTTACATGTGTATACGTGCCCTGTTGAAAAAAACCTCCACGCCTCAACCTGACTCAATTGTGACTGTAAACCGAAAATTCAATGAAAAAATTATAGATTGTGATTTTTAGGAAACTGTTCCTTATTGAACGATAAAAGCAACATCCTTTCACCAACAATCTCAGCAATTGTTGAATACAATTTTAATCCAGAGAACACAATAATTGGTCACGTACTGCAAGCGTGGGTTTTGCTTGCATGGCAAGTTTGGTTATTTTAGCTCCCCTCCACCCTCCCGACCCCAACTACCCCCCCCCCAACCCTAGGCCTGCAGTAAAAGGCGGTGTGCTCTGTGCATCATAATGAAAAGAAAAAAATATATGTGCGTGCCGAACATGGGCAGGCTTCCTAATCAGTTAAAAGGTCTGGCTGGTTTGTGTATGTACAGACCGCCGGACCAGCTAGCCGTGAGTAACAAGGCAGGCGCCAAAACGCAGACCGTTAGAGCGCTGCTATTAAAACTTGAAACGGCCTTACGTAATTGGGCGAGCAAATCTGACCCCGCAATCCTGGGAGGAAGCTGAGAAATCTAGCTAAACGGCACACAACGGGCGTCATTTAGCTGTAACCAATGTTTCCTGCGGAAAAGGAATGTAAATGAGCACCGGCCCAGCAATAACGACTCAATTTGGTAGAGAAGTGGTCGCAGCTTAATACCAGAAGCACCCAAAGAAAGTATATGCTCATTATCATCTTTACAATGACGCACATAAACCAATGTAATAATAACGTCAATTATTTATCCAGGAGAAAGCCAAAACACCGAGTCTCGAAACTCATTTTTAGGACAACACTCCCCTTTGACCAATTCCATGAATGGGAAGAAGCTGAAGTACTAAAAGGAACCCAGGCAGACGCGAAGAGAACACACTCCAAGTTCCATACAGAAAGGTTATAGCCACGGTGGACGTAAACATTAGACAGAGCTTTTAGAGCCACCAGTTTGCCCCTAAAGTGCTGATTCGGAGGCATGTGCCTCATATGCAATATACACGCAGCATATTCAGTACTATATACACACATGCTCGCTCGCAAAATTTGATAAACTACTCAACCAAAAGTCTTTACAATTTAATATAATTTAGTCCTATTCTTGGTTCTTTCGGTAAAGTCACGTAGAAGGGAAATAATAAAATAATAAAAATAAACCAATTAAATTCTCACGACTATTTTCTTGCTGTGGTTTTCACACCTGATGATTGCTTGTGTTGCAATTGAAACGTCGTGAGAATTTTATTGTTATATTTTTATTATTTTATTACTTCCCTTCTACGTGACTTTACCGAAAGAACCAAGAATCTGAATCCCTGCAGTCACGAAAGATTTAAATCGAAATTTAATTTAGTCCTTTCAAAAGGAAAAGGAAATATATGTAGTCGAAACACAAATGCAGATCTCCCAGTCCATGTGCGACCACAGTAACTTGGATGTATCATAACCCCCCTCCCCCCCCCCCATACAAAAACATCAAAAATCAACCGGTGTCACGACGTTTCTTCAGCACAGCACCGCTGCACCTTGGAAAATGTTGGCAATTTTAATTCCACTTGAGAAACTGGCAAACACAGACCTACAGTGAAAAATCATCAGCTATGGGCTTGTGAAAAAATAAACACTGGACGGTACTGTGTACTTGGCTGTACAGACTGAGGGAAAGTGCCGTTGACAAGCACCTATTAAGGATGGAATGCTACAATAAGGCTTTCAATTCCTCAATTCTGGCTGTACTGTAATACAGGATACTCATTTCAGGATCAGTCAAGCTCGGTGATAACCACTTCCATTTTAGATACCACGCACGTACTGGTGTTGTGTATGACCAGTAATCAAACCCACTATGGTATGATGTATCACAGTGCACTCACACTACACATCACATCATATTCGGAACTTTTCAGGATTATTTAATTCTGAATTTCACATGTTAAAGGAGTGATGTCAATCAATGCCATGCAACACCATTCTGGTGAGAAAGAAGCCGATTAGATTTACCCTTTTGCGAATAATCTGAAGAAGAAAAAATCGGATCGCCCAAGATTTCATATCGAGAGCCGATTTTGAGATTAATCCGGGAATGGAGAGCACATCCCGACATTCCACACGTGTATATGCATACATAAAGCAAGAACGTACAACAGGCATCTAATATAAAGTTAAGACTTTGCATTACAATTACTAAATTAAAAGTATAAATGTGATTACCTTGTGGTCGCAAGTCATTTTACGCTAACTCAGTACCAATAGACATTTAAACACTGTGCCTCCCTTCACAATCCACTACCTAACCCACGGTGATGGGCGCCAATGCTGGCTAACGTTACACTCGGCACCTACAACATAATCGCGTTACGGAGCCACTCTCCTTTCCACTGGGCCAGCTTAATTACTGCACTCCTTATCTGCCTGATCAGTTTTTAAATAAATGCCTAAAAGCATATCCCTTTACACGTCAGCATCACTAAACCAAACACCTTCCAATACTTGGAGGATAAAGCAGGTTGACCCCAGGCCTCTTGTATTCTTGTGGCCTTACATTGCTGTTGCTTAAAAAAATAACGATTAAGTGTTTTACATGCACGTGTATCTCGCAACGCTGTACAATCCGCAACACATGGAGGTGCATATACATTTAAGATGTCGTAAGCCAATTTAATGAATGTTTATAGACGTGGGAGAAAATTGGAGTACGCGGAGAAAACCCACATGCTCGTGGGGGCAACACTATCCCATAACGTGGCAAGCCAGGGTAAGGCACCCTTCTTGACGCCCATGGCATGAGAGTTTCATAACACTTGTGCGATCCACCAGCCCTTGCCTCCACGGTGCTGGATTACAGGGATGTGCCACTACCACCGAATTTTAGAGGGTATTTGGCCTACTCTTCGAGGATTAATCAGATGTCCTGGAAGAGGTCGGTGTGTCCACATTCTACCCCACCACACGCAATCTGCCGATTGACTGTGGCGTACCC